TGGTAACATCACAACCTACGGAAAAAATAAGACTCAGAAAGGTAAAAAAAATTATATTGGTTTGGAGACAAAGTCTCTTTGGCCCATCAAAACCCACCCTCGCATCGCAGCATCAAGCTGCTTTTTAAATGCCTAATGACTGGAACAGGTTAGCCAGGAAAGGTATTTGAGACCAATGTCCTGGTCTCAAATACCCTAACCTGTCCCAGTCATTAATTACCCTCTGGGTAAAGAAACACTGTGTGGTATCTGTCCTGAAATTGCTCTTTGCAATTCTAAACTTATGTCCTCTTGTTCTACAGTCTTATTGCAACCTGAAACACAGAGCTGTTCTGGGTTTCATTTTTCAATCTCAATCTCTAGGAAGTTCCCTTTAAGACGTCTTTTCTCAAGTTGCTGGACCCTTGTATCAATGTCTGGTAAATATTCTCTGTGCTCTCTCTGACATCTTTTCTGTAGTGGGTGCCCCAAACTGGATACAATACTCCTGGAGCCCCAGCTGGCCTTAACCACACTTAAACAATTTGCATTTACATAGTGCCTTTTTTACTCAGCGTCTTGGAGCAACGTAATCTCTACAATTTACCCACTATAACTGGGTCTGAGCCCCCTCCCATTATCCCTCCCCCGATGGTGGGAAAATTCTACCTGGGGGATGGTGGATCCCCTTTCCCAATTGTTATCCATCAAACACACAGTCAACTCACTGTACAGTATATTCTGTGAAGCGCTTTGACACGCCTTGAAGACGTGACGAGGCGCTGTATCAAATGCCAGGATTATTATTATTATTATTGATTTTAAAATTTATGTTTAAAATCAGGGTTGATTTTGTGTCTCCTCCTTCCTCCCATCCCCCCAAAAAGCTGAACCAACTGAGCGAAAGTAATAAATAGCTGGAGTCCCATCCTCCGCAGGTACATCCTCATTCTGTACATGCTTTTGGGTCCATTTCTAAAATTGTTTAAGGTTTTAAATGATGCATCATAAACTGATCCAAAGGGATTTAGACGGCAGGCTGCAGTGAGCTGCAGTATTGTGTGAGAACAGACAAGCCGATCCATCTATTTACATTACCTGTTTATCAGCATATGCACAGAGCCTGGATCAGTGCCTCAATGAGATTACGCAGGAAGTGAATGATTGGATGAATTAATAAGTGAAATGAGTAAATGGCTGGGAAATGTGTAGCAAATACATCGCCATCTCCTGTACAGAGCCACAGCCCAGTCCTCTTGTCTCTGGCAGTGCATGAGCGAGCGCAAGTATTGACCTAAATATCAAAATAGGAAGTGTGACGAGCAAGAGACTTTAGGAACACCGAACAACCGTAGAAATAATAATAATAATAATCCTTAGATTTGATATAGCGCCTTGTCGCATAATGCAGGAAAGTTTGAGGTTAAGGAATTTGGAGAAAATATTAGGAGACGAAATTTAGCTTAAATGGTAAATTCCAAAGGGAGTGGGAGAGAAAAATATACACAAATCTTTGAATGTGGGAGGACAAGATGTCAAATCTGTTTTTTTTTAAAAAAGAGAATGGAATCCTGGATTTTACAAATCGGGGCAGAGAATATGAAAGCAAGAAAGATAATGCTAAACCTGTATAAATCTTTAGGTACGGTTGGATTATTGTAACTAGTTTTGGCAAACACTATAGGAAAGATGTCAGAGAGAACACAGGGAATATTCCCTAGACTGATATAAAAGATTTTACTTGTGAGAAGAGACGAGAGGAACAGAAAAGGTTGAGATGAGATCTGTTGGAGAATTTTAAAGGGTGTTAATAATAATAAGCCTTGCATTTGTTACAGCGCCTTATCACATCTTAAAGATGTATTAAAGCGCTTCACAGAATATACTGTTATATATAAGTGAATTGACTGTTTACTTTGTGGGCGAAAGTAAATGGGGAAAAATTCTTTCAATGGGTCAGTGAGTCAGTAATTAGAAGGCATCGATTTCGATGAATTGCTAAAAGACCAAAGGTAGAATTTTTTTTAAACACACAGAATATATTAGTAAGACAGAATTAGTATGTGGATGTCCCACCCAGTATGCTGATTGAGACAGAATGGACATTGGCTTTTAAGTGGGAATTTGATAAATGGCCCTCCCTCCCCCCACCTTCAAACCCTGCCTAAAGACCTTTCTTTTTGATCGGGCTTAAGGTCACCCCTTTCTCCCCCTGGCTTGGGGTCAGACTCCACCACTGTCAAGCGCTCCGGGACACTACCCGGTGTGAAGAGCGCTGTATTAATTTATGTAGTGCTTTTCACATCAGGAGGACAGCCCAGAGAATCATCTGGGAATCCAAGTGAGAGGAGGTGGGGGAGCGGAGGAAGGGGGTGGGGTGGGGGTGGATAATTGACCCAAAGTGTGGTTGGATGAAAAGGTCTTAAGACCAGCTTTGAAGGTGATGGGAAGATAGGAGGATGGGATAACTCTTTCAGAGAGCCAGCATGGGCACAATGGGCAGAGTGGTCCTCCTGTGCTATGGTTCTAATCCCCTTTCAATCAAAATCTGTTTCATACAATCACAGAAATGTGGAAGCAGAAATCTACCAATTGATTAATCAATATGGAAAGGGATTAAGCCCAAGGGGTCTGTAACTGGTGTATAAGTTCATCCCTGAACCAACGAGGAAGAGAAGGAGACCTTGAAAGGGGAAAAAGTCCCTTCTCTCCTCTACTCCGTTTCATAATTCTAAGAAAAGCTTTTGAAATGATTCCAGCTCCCTGTAACCATAACAACCTTCAGTCTACACTTCCCAGACCACATGGAGCTTGTGTTAATTTATGAATCGCTCAGTTTGTAGCCCCGGCTGTTTTTTTCCAATTCATATTTTACCCGAATGTTACGTACATTTCGGGCGTCGAGAGATTTGTTTTGCACTTGTCATTTGATAAACGATAAAGCAAACATTTACAGATAATACTTCAAGCAAACTGTCTGACTGCAGACATCAGCCGCTGGATACAGTAAACATTCGGTAATTCAAGACCGACTTTAATTCATTCACGTGTTCTCTGCTCGTGAATTATCTGGTTTAGTGCACGTGTGGGAGATAAAGACTGGACGTGACAGTTCAGCAAAACATAAAAAATGAGGCTTTAATAAATCATAACCAACTGCCTGATAAAGAATTCACTCTGAATGGCTGACTGATCACAGTGACAAGTCAGCCAGTGACAGCATTTCCAGAACATGAGGCGGGTGGGAACCGTCTGACTTGCGTTCCTGAGCAGAATTTATTGCATCTCAATTTTTGTGCACAAAAATGCCCCCATGACCATAGTTTTTTTTTGGTAGGCTTTTTTCTTTCCTCCCCATTGAGTGCTAACTGCTGGGCACTATACCCCTTACCCTCCCTGCCCTCGCCCCCACCTTGATGCCAACCCCCAGCTCGGGTCCAAATCCCTGACTGTCCAGCGCCTTGGGTTGTCCTCCTGACATGAGAGGCGCTTTACAAATGTAATCTGTTGTTGTTGTTGTTGCAACTTTGGCTGTCCACAGGGAGCACAGCAACGACCAGTGTCCTGATTGCTCTCCCTCTCACTGAGGAAGCATTCGGTCTCTCACAGAGGCACAGAGCAAGGCTCAGTCT